CAACACCCTTTCACTAAAACGGCCATATCTTAACATCTACAAATTATTTTGATCTTATTCTAATTGGTTTAGAAATTATTAAGCTTTCCAATGATGTATTATATGCCTTATTCAAGTTACGAATCAAAAGTTATCGTAGTTTTAAAAACACGTAATAAACTGGAATTACCGCGCAACAGATAAAATGTCGCGACGCAATAAAAGCTGACGTGGCACGGTGCATATTGTCGTGACACAGTATTCTACACCATGTCATGGTGCTTTTTTCGTGTATTTTCGAAAAAAACAAAACACCATGACACCGCACCATGTGCCGCGACACGGTGGACTTTGTCGTGTCACGACATTTTCTTCTGTGTCACGGTACATGTGTCGTGTCACGGGATTTTCCTGTGTTTTCTCCGCGTAAACCCTGCACATGTTTTATAATTTTAGGGCAGCTATTGCACCGCGACGCGGTATTATGTACCGTGTCAAGGCACGTTTTGTCGTGTCGCGGTGCCTCAAAACTAGGGTTTTATCTTTTTAGGGTTTCGTGTGTTCCCTCTACTCATTTTCTCTATAAATACCCCCTTCTTTCTACAGTTCGGGGCACCAACAATTATTCTCTCTCCCTCTACACCAAAAATCATTCTCTTCTCTCTTTCTCTCTTGCTTTAGCCTAAACCCTAGCCACCTTATTCTTCCATAATACTTCTCCTAAGCACTCCAAGGAGTCCATACAACATTTAAGGTTCCGTCCTTAAATCAATGCGTGAAAGGTATACTTAACTGAGGGTTTGGACCAAATCAACTCTACTTTTAATTTAATTTCAATTTGATTTATATTTTTGTTGAAGTTACTAACAATTTATTCATGATGCAGCAATTTAAAGGAGCGCGCGAAATGTGAATAATTAATTACTTTAATACTTATTTTATTTTTATATTTCTTGTATATCATGATTAGTTTAAATAATTTATATTTGATTTGACTAACAACTTATTGTTATATTGCTTCCAATATTAATCTTTATTCTATTATATTTTTTATAATCACCATATTGCATGTTTAAAGGGAATATGTAATTGAAAATCACGCCTAATAAGATAATTTGGACAACAGGTATTGGTTCCTTTTTAATCTGATTGTTTAATTGAAGTGATCACGATATTTTAGAATTATGTGTTGTATTAATATTCAACCAATTTGGCATAATAATAGTTTGGAGCGAATTGAATCTTTGTTTACATGCCTTTGAGATCGCAGGAATCACTTTTCACTATAAGAATCGAGTAGAGGCTTGACAGGCTAAAGTCGTATCACCAAATCAAAAGTAATTCCTAAATCCTCTAACTAATGTAGATAGGGAAGTAGGGTCGAATCCATATGGAAACTGGTCTTTCTATTCCTAATTAATTAAAGTAATCTAAATTATTAAGTAACAAGATAATAATATGGAAGGGAAAAAAAACTAATAAGATTAAGGGTAGAGAAGATCAAGGAATAAAGGCCTAGGGCATAGGTTCACCCAATAAATAATATTCCAGAGTATAACATGAAAATCAATCATCAACGCATCAATTAACCAGATCATAAAGCGCTTTCGATACATATTACAATCACAGAATTAATCTACCGGTATTAAATCTCATCTCTCGAATCTCGACTTAACCATTTAAAAATTAACCTGCCTATTGAAATTAAGCCTAAATATTACTTCTCATCTCTCGAATCTCAAATTAATATTGCTAAACTCATACATAAAAGGTCTGCGCAAATCTAGTTGCATAGCATTAAATCAATCAATAGGAAATTAATCAAGCATTGATAATCAACAACAATAAATTACCCCTTCATTTTATTTATGGATCCCCACAAACCCTAGAAAGAAAACTACTCACACATAATTAAATATAAACTAAACAAAGCAGTTAAAGGAGACATGATGAATAAAAGAAATAAAATTACTGAAATTAATAAAGAAGAAATTGTTACCGAAATTAACGTCAATAAAGAGTTGAATCAAGAACAAAGTATAGAGTTATAGAGAGAGAAAATAATACTAAGTAGAGAGAGAAAGTCTAGGAGAAGAGAATAGTCATATCAAAATGACTTAAAACGTATTTATACTAAGCTCCTAAAATCCTAATTAGAAACTAAGTAAAAATCGCCGGAAAAAAGCTCTCCAAAACACGCGCCCGATCGGGCGAGGCACCGCCTGATCGGTCCCGCCTTATTCCATCAGGTGCATCTCTCGCGCCCGGCCGGGCGCGAGCTCGGGCGAAGGGCTGCTTCATTCTTCTTTTTCCCTGCCCGGTTGGGCGCGCCTTCGAGAGATACCAAATTGGTCGGGCGAAGCACTTGGTTTATCTTGGACTCTTGATTGGGCTCCGATCCTTCGGCCCAATCCGAATTTCCTCTTCGGGTCTTGAATACTTGGTCCAAATGCCCCAGTATCACATATGTCGAGCTTGTAATCACCAGTTTGATGACTCTAACTGGCCTTGGGCTATGTGTAGACACCTACTTTTGGCCTCTTGTCCCAAAAGGAAGTGCGATGATGTTACAAAAATACGTTCTTCATGTTAGATCAAAGTTAAAGTGTTTATGAACTAAGAAATGTAATATGAAGTAAGTAAAAAATCATATTTGAGACCAAGTAATCTTAGAGCCTTGTCCGATTACTAATTAGGCCTTAAACGTGCTCATACATGTATAAACTTTATTAATAACGGACCCAAATGCGGCAAATGTAATAATTTGATCCAATGGATCTTACATTGTTGAAAACCGAGCCAAACAGATAAAAAAAACATCATATTTCCATTTATGGCCTATACATATGGATAGCCCTTTCAAATAACTTTCCAACGGTATATTATAAGCCCAATTCCGAGTTAAAACGAAGAAGTTATGATCAAAACACTAAATCGAGCCCTAAAACTGACACCCTTGCACTCCAACGGCCATATCATTTGATACATAACATATTTTAACCTAGTTCTAATGGAATTGGAAAGTAGACATTCAGATCTTTCCAATCGTATCTCACATGAATAAATACAACTTTTCAATCAAAAGTTATGGAAGTTTTAAAACGTGTTTTCGTATCAGGCAAACCGCATCCCAGCGCGACTTACTGAGATGCGCGCGGCACCCAGCACGACTTAGAGTGTTGCGCGCGCCACTTGACTGCATGGCTCTAAAACCCTAAACCTATATCCTTACGCCTATAAATGTGGGTCTTCGTTCAACATTACGAGGACCGAATAATCTTAATTAAAACCCTAGCATTCTCATAACCCTGATCTCTCAACTTCTCTTACTATCATGCTACTTTTTCTTCTCTGTTATCAAATAATTTTCAACCCTAACTGAATCCATTGAAGTCCTTGGAGGTACGAAGAAGAAAGAAAGTCCATAAACGCATTCAACGGAGATTTAACATAAAAGAAGAACGGTTAGTTTCCAGAGCACTTAGATAAATCACTTTTCTTTTATTGTTTCAATAACTTTAATTGAATAAATAGTGTTGGTTGATCACTTTAAACAAACTTTTAGTTAATTAATTCACATATAATTCTTTCTTTTAATCAAGACTAGAATTTGATAATTAATTGTTGTTTTATCACTTAGACATGGCGAATATTTTTTATTTTGTTCTTTTCACGAATATTGATTAAACAAAGAATAACGACTTTTGCAATGTAATTCCTACATGATTAATGCTTGTAAAAAAATCAACTAACTTAGTCTTTAGGTCACACGTTGCATATATTGTTTGGTAATGAAATTGTGAAAAAGGAAGAGCTAGTAGAGGTCGTACTAAGGCTAAGATAGCGATTCTCCTCTAAAGGGAACGTTATCTTAGTACCCTCGCTCCCGAACTCATTTCTGGTTTATGTAGACCAATTTGGGCATGGGTAAACTTACGATTCATGCTAATTATCCATTGAACTGTACTTGGGAGGTTTATGAGTTCTTAAAACTCATTGGCGACTCCTACTTGTTTCTTACTAAAAAGCGCGATGAGAGTATCATTTCTAATTAAGGTCTCCCAAACAATCAGGAATTCAAATCCTAATACACCCTAACAAGTGTTAAGTCCTAGGCTTTTAAAGGGCCATGGACATCTAAGGAGAAGGACCCCCTACAATGGGAACACCCTCCTTACACTATGAAAGATGGTTGTGCTCCTCCAATGCTCGTAGTCGCTCTAATAAAATCACGGGAAAATGCTTCAAAAGTGCAAATCCCTGCAAAACTCAACCAAAACTATGAAAACACTAGAAAACACAAATTAGTAATAAATTTGGCTCTAAAGAGCCAAAAACACTACGAATTATGACCAAGGGACGGGGAAAAAAACGCCATATAAAATGGACATATCAAGGCTAATACGGGCGAATGTGACTCCATGACTCACTTTGTACCATCATCTCTCCCCGATCCTCCTTTCGTGATTCCAAACCATATAGAGTTAGTAATCTTATGGATTATGAATGGGGTGTAACCTTTACGGTTCAATCGTTGTCCCTTAATTGTGGTTGCCTTTTATGATCCGTGAACAGCTTACAAGTTCCTTACAAACTTGTTGGCGGCTCCCTTACTTATTTGTCCCTAATTGTATACGTCAATTTCCATTTCCTATGAGTGCCAATATTCACACATGCTTAATGTAGGCGCACTTCAAATGACACCTACACTTATGAACTAATACTAAATATGTGACTTAGCATGGTTAACATGTATAATATTGATCGAGTTTTTTGTATTATGTAGGTACCCACTAAATGTCGTCTTGCATTGAAATATGAGTACACTAGTTGGAAAATTGTCATTTGTAACACCCTATTCGTAACAAGCATTATAAAATTCGTTACAAAAAGAATAATTGTAACGGGAAAAATATTTGACCGTTACAAAAAAAAAAACTCATTTGTAACGGGCAAATAAATGCCCATAACGAATAGTAAATATTTGTATCGGGAAAATATAAAGCCTGTTACGGATAAATCATGCGTTAGGGTTTAAAACCATATACTCGTAATTCTTTTCATAGCCGTTTTTGTTACACAAGTGTGTGTTCTGTCTTTCCTTTTTTCTTTTCCTCTTATCTTCTTCCTCAAACTCTCTCTTTCTCTCTCTTCTCCTCCTCTTTTCTCTTTCATGTTGCCGGCGCGTTGGTCGGTCGTAGCAGCGGTAACAGTGGCGCAAGGAGTTAATACAAACTAACCTCTAGTCGTTTCCCCCTCCCGAAAGGATTTTTCCTATAGGTTCGTCCCTTTTATTTTCTTCTTTTCTCTTTAAATGATTTCATTATATCATGGTTTTTGAGTTTTTGTTTGCTCAATTTACAATTTCATGTTTTTGGAACAAGTGGTTTTGAATTTTATATTTTAATTCAATTTTCTCACATAGAAATTATACCTTTTACAAATACCTACAGCACCGCAAATTATATAGATCTTTGCTTATAAGCTTTCAAAGGATGTTTCTTGTTAATTTATCTGCATTTTCATGATAATCTGACGTAATTATATATGTTGTACACAGTATTATCTGAGCTCAAATTTATCAAGTACTTTTTGTGCTACTGATTGATTCCTTGCCATCTATCTGCAAGCAGATTTTGTTTATATTTGATAAGAATTTTTGCTGATTAATTTTGAGCTTGGGTCTGTAAACTTCAACTTGCATGGTTTAGGGATTTTTGTGTTGCTTGGAAAAGTTGTTATATGTCTTAAGATGGAACTAGGAATGTGATATTATGGGAGGAAAATCAAAGAATAAAAGACCTACGGCATAGGTTCACCAATAAATAATATTCCAGGGTAATACATAATAATCAATCATCAACTAATCAGATCATAAAGGGCTCTCGCTACTTAATACAATCACAAAATTAATCTACCGGTATTAAACCTCATCTCTCGAATCTCGACTTAACCATTTATAAATTAACCTGCCTATTAAAACTAAGCCTAAATATCAATTCTCATCTCTCGAATCTCGAATCAATATTTCTTAACTCATACATAAAAGGCCAGCGCTAATCTAGTTGCAGAGCATTAAATCAATCAATAGGAAATTAATCAAGCATTGATAATCAACAACAATAATTTACCCCTTCATATTATTTATGGATTCCCATAAACCCTAGAAAGAAAAACTACTCAAATATAATTGAATGTAAACTAAACAAAGAAATTAAACAAGTCATGATGAAAGAAATAAAATAAATAACTGAGAATAAAGTAGAAGAAATCGTTACCAAAGTAATCGGAATTAAAGAGTTGAATTAAGAACAAAATTATAGAGAGAGAAAATAATCTAAAACTAAGTAGAGAGAGAAAGTCTAAGATAAATAATAATTAGAAGTAAAATAAGAGAGAGATAGAGTAAAAAAAACTCTAAAACGTATTTATATTAAACATCTAATTAATCCTAATTAAAACTAACAAAAAGCGTCAAAATCAGCTCTTCAAAAATAAGCTCCCGGTCGGGCGCCACACCGCCCGATCGGGCCCGCGTTTTTTCCATCATGGGCGTCTCTTGCGCCCGACCAGGCGCGCGCTCGGGCGCAAGGACTTTTTCTTAATCAACCCCGCCCGGTCGGGCGCGCCTTCCGGCAAGAGCTTTTTTGGCCGGGCAAGGACACTTGGGGAAGCTTGGACTTTAATTGGGCTTTGATTCTTTGGCCCAATCCGGATTTCCTCTTCGGGTCTTGAATACTCGGTTCAAATGCCTCAAAATCTCAATTGCTGAGCCCTTAATCACCGGTTCGATGACTCTAACCGACCTTGGGCTATAAAGGATGGTCGTGCTCCTCCAATGCTAGTATTTGCTCCATTAAAATCCCGAAAAATGCTCCAAAGGTGCAAATCCCTACAAAACTCAACCAAAACTACAAAAACACTAGAAAACACCAATTAGTAATAAAAGTGGCTTTAGAGAGCCAAAAACACTACCAATTATGACCAAGGGACGGGGTAAAACACTATATAAAATGAAAATATCAAACTCCCCCAAGCCAAACCTTTGCTTGTCCCTAAGAAAAGATCTCATCAATAAATAAATAAATACATGCCTCACCCCAAATAGTCAAATACAAGCACAAAAAATTCAAGGAAAATCTAATAAACATGTTTCAACATCAACCAATCTCATCCATCCAATCACTCGTCCTCCCTAACAATTGTAAAATAGAGCAAACCACAAGAGCATATAGAATCAAGACTAGTGCTCACACACTAAACTCTCATTTATGTGACGAGTAAAAGATGTACTCGATCGCTCTCCATCCCAACCCCTTTATTTGAACAATGCCCTCCCAAACTCACAACTCTCGTGTGTTACAAAGACGAGAACTCAGCCTAATAGTCGACTCGAAATATGTCAAGTCATTCCTTGCATTGATAGACAACACTTTCAAGTTTGCACGACTCTATGCACAAGGTCGGAAGACCTTTAAAGCTTGTAATGTAAGGCTCGGGTAAAAGGGTAGGAAATATTTGGGAAAAAGTGAGAGAAAATCCATGCTTAAGGGAGTAAAAACTTAATAAAACCAAGGTCAAAAATAAATAATGACCAATCATCTCCAACATACTCAACTCCAACAAAAGTTCACCAAATATAACTCTAAACATAACAAACAATCCCAACACTTACAATATCACACACAAAAGTATAATAATATAGAACTTGAGTGAATAAACAAACTTTATTCTCCGAACATGATTTTCATTGAAACTCAATTTTTTTCTTTGTTTCTTCCTTTTGATCAACCTCCAACTAGAACATTTGAACATTAAACAATTTTTTCTTTTTTGCTTTATTTTTTTTCTCTATTGAAGTTCACTTTTTTTTCACTTTTCTTTTTTTTTCTTCATATCATCATACTTTATTTTTTTTCAAAAACATTAAACTTTCAAACTCATCAAAAATAAACTATGATCAAGAACAAAATACTTCAAAAAACCCACCCAAATGGTGCAAATAATAAGCACACTACAAACTCCCTCACCTCACTCACTAATAGCTCCCCCAAGCCAAGCTTGGGACTATTAACCAATGGGGCAAAATAGGCTTGTAATGTGGTTTATAAACAACAAAAAGTCAAGGCAACAACATGGCTAGCAAAAAGGGAACAAATGTATCTAAAATCATCTGAAGGCTACCTAAAAGAACAAATGCCTTCGTCCTCCACAATGTGCATAATAATGAGACATGAAACACTACTCATAGTTGCAAATCAATACTCAAATTCATTGACATACCAGGAACTAACACACATTCCTAACCAAATCCACAATGCTTGGAAAAGTTGTTATATGTCTTAAGATGGAACTAGGAATGTGATATTATGGGAGGAAAATCAAAGAATAAAAGACCTACGGCATAGGTTCACCAATAAATAATATTCCAGGGTAATACATAATAATCAATCATCAACTAATCAGATCATAAAGGGCTCTCGCTACTTAATACAATCACAAAATTAATCTACCGGTATTAAACCTCATCTCTCGAATCTCGACTTAACCATTTATAAATTAACCTGCCTATTAAAAATAAGCCTAAATATCAATTCTCATCTCTCGAATCTCGAATCAATATTTCTTAACTCATACATAAAAGGCCAGCGCTAATCTAGTTGCAGAGCATTAAATCAATCAATAGGAAATTAATCAAGCATTGATAATCAACAACAATAATTTACCCCTTCATATTATTTATGGATTCCCATAAACCCTAGAAAGAAAAACTACTCAAATATAATTGAATGTAAACTAAACAAAGAAATTAAACAAGTCATGATGAAAGAAATAAAATAAATAACTGAGATTAAAGTAGAAGAAATCGTTACCAAAGTAATCAGAATTAAAGAGTTGAATTAAGAACAAAATTAAAGAGAGAGAAAATAATCTAAAACTAAGTAGAAAGAAAAAGTCTAAGAGAAAGAATAATTAGAATTAAAAGAAGAGAGAGAGAGAGTAAAAATAAAACTCTAATACGTATTTATATTAAATATCTAATTAATCCTAATTAAAACTAACAAAAATCACCCAAATCATCTCTTCAGAAACATGCGCCCAGTCGGGCGCCACACCGCCTAGTCGAGCTCGCCTTTTTTCCATCATGGGCATCTCTCACACCAGGCTGGGCACGAGCTCGAGCTCGAGAGCGAGGCCTTTTTCTTCATCAACCCCGCCTGGTCGGGCGCGCCTTTCGACGGGAGCTTCCTTGGCCGGGCAAGGACACTTGGGGAAGCTTGGACTTGGATTGGGCTTTGATTCTTTGGCCCAATCCGGATTTCCTCTTCGGGTCTTGAATACTCGGTCCAAATGTCTCGGAATCTCAACTGCTGATCCCTTAATCACCGGTTTGATGACTTTAACCGGCCTTGGGCTATAAAGGATGGTCGCGCTCCTCCAATACTCGTAGTTGCTCCATAAAAATATCGGGAAAATGCTCCAAAGATGTAAATCCCTACAAAACTCAATTAAAACTATGAAAACACTAGAAAATACCAATTAGTAATAACAGTGCTTTAGAGAGCCAAAAACACTACTAATTATGAACAAGGGACAGGGGTAATAAAACACTGTATAAAATGGACATATAAGGCCTAGCTTTAAAAAGTGTTTCTCTATCTAAGAAATAGAAGTTGGGCAAACAAGGGGTTTTCAAGAAATAGAAACATTTTAATAAGAAGCCCAAAATAACTTCTAAGGAGGGTAGAAGGAGAAGCAGCAAATTGTAGCTTCTTCTTTGCTATTTTTCAGGGAGCTATTTTACCCATTTAATGAATTTTTTTCAAACAAAAGCGCCCTCAACATTATGCAAATTGACTACTAATATCCCATCTAATAGATGCAATCCTTTTTCTCTCTCTCCCTCCACCGCCTCTTTTTTTCTCTCCTCTCAAATCCTCCCAACAACTTCATACCCATCAAGCTAATCTTTTGGATGAAACCCAAATGGGTTTTCTAATTCTACTATTACTTTTCATCATCCATGGGCTGAGTTTTTGGATTTTATTAATTTTTATTTTAGACAGACGGATTTTGTTAATTTGATTGTAATTATAATGCACAATTTGATATTTATCAGTTCGTGGGAAATGGGGATTATATAATTTGATGAGGTTTACTAATTCTTGTTTGGCTTTTGCTAGAGATAATAATACTACTACTTTCGGTTAGTAATTTTTTTGTTTCTTTTTTTGTTGTTTTTGTTTGATTTTCTGATTAATTTCTTGCTCATTTCGTTAGTTTGGTCACTTTTAAGGGAGGATGTAGAGGTGGTTGTAGAGACTAGAATGGTTTGTCGTTTCCTTTTGTTAATTCTTCGGTGGCGGCGAGTGCGATGATGTGACAATGGGTGAAACAATTGATCAGTGGATCCTCCAAAGAACTCAATTATTTATATTAATTAGAACTTGATTTCAAAAATAAAATAAAATTAAAATTAACTTTGATGATAGATTTTTATTTGCAATAATATGTAAGAAACAATTATTAATTTATTGGGCCAAACAAGGTAAAATAGTTTCTATTTCTCATAATCACTTCTTATTTTGTTGAAGCCAAACACTTACGTTTTCTCAAAGTGTTTCTCTAGAAATAGTTTTTGGAAAACTAATTTTAAGAAACAGAAGTTGATTTTCAGAAGGTTGTCCAAACAGACCATTATTTCTATAAATTGGACCAACACATAAAGATGGGAGAAATAGAAGTCTCTTAGGTAATTTTGAAACGATTAGAGTAAACACATGAAAGATGAGAAAGATAGAGTTGTATTTCTTTAATATGAAATATGGGAAAGAAAACATTTATTCTAATGATTGTTTTTATTTTGTAACCTTATTTGTCTGTCTTTTTGAGTTGAATGTGGTTCCAAAACAATGGCCGCAATGCTATAGATCTAAATATTTATTGAACGCATGACTATTAGGTAGAACAATGTAATATTATTAGTGTTGTTGTATGTGTTGGATAAACTTATACAAGTTTTTATTTGCAATGTATTATTTATATTTTTATATTACTATGTTTTATTAATTTCTAAGAATATTTGTTTGGTATAATTGTTTATTTACATGTATACATGTAGGAACAAATTTATTATTACAAGTTCTAATTAATATGTATTAATTATAAATATAAATATAAGCTGCCGAAATTTAATTAAAAAAACTTTAATTTACAGGCTATTTGTAACGGGTAACAAATATGCCCGTTACAATAAGTACTTATTCATAATGGGCATTAGTGTTTCCCGTTACGAATAAGTACTTATTAATAACAGGCATATTTTTTGCCCGTTATAAATAAGTACAAATTAAAATACAATAAGTCATTATTGTATACAAAGTGCCCATTACAAATAATAGGTTATTCGTAATGGTCATCTGAAATGTCCGTTACAAATAACCCACTATTCGTAACGGGCACCTCTGCTCGTTACGAATATGCCTGTAACAAATAACAAAGGCCAGCCGTAACGGCCGATGCTCGTTACGAATATGCCTGTAACAAATAACAAAGGCCATCCGTAACGGCCGATGCTCGTTACGGATGGGCAGTTTTTGTCCGTTACAGAGGACTTTTTTTTCCATTAGTGTGACTATTTTTTTTTTGTATAAACATAAATAAAAATTATTGTTTTTTTTTTTTTTTTTTTTTGGAGTTTTAGTGATAATAATTGATCGATTCCTTATATTAAAAGCCTTAGAGTATTTTTCCCATTCCTATCTTTCATTGATATGTTTGAATCCGAATTTCAACTATTTCTTATAAAATCGGTGTTGGTGATATTTTGTGTTATAGGAAAAAGGACAACAAATTTCTTCATCTTAATCAAAATCATTAAACTATGAATTATATATCCAGACTTCCATAATATTTACCTCGCTCATTAACAAATAAGTTATGATCAAAATACTTAATTGAGTCTAGGTCCACCTTAAATTAGCTACGGCCAAATGATTATATAGGGTCCAAATATTCTATTTAAACCCTAAAATTGAATGATATTTCAAAGTTAATCATTAATAAAGTTGACTAATTTTTACGGAGTATTTTTTATAAATCAAATAAAAATTATTGTTTTACGGAGTATTTGTTAGGAAATATTATCTTCTGTATTTTTATTAATGAAGATTTTTTTATAAATATTAATATTCAAAGTAGTATTAGATGGCTGGTTCAAAAATTAAGCAGTAGATCAATTCCACCGAAAGTCCAAAACATCGATTTTAATTCTAGGTATTTAGATTTTTTTCTCACCTTAACTATAATATACAAAATATGACTATTTATGAATATTTTGGCTCCTTTTTCTAGTTTGTTAAAAAAATTATCTTTTACTACCTCCGTTACAAGTTACATGCAACGATTTGACATAAAGCAGAGAGGGAAAATGTCTAATCGTTGCACATAACCTGTGACGGAGGTAGTATTTTAATCTTGGTATATATAGTAGTTCTTGTACTTTATATATATATCTATTTATGATGATAAAGTTTGAAGGAGTAATGTATATACTAATATTTTTGTGTACAATAACATCCTAATAATATAATACGGAGTATGTATAAACAATTACTACTATTATTTTATGTAGCGTTATTATTAAATTATTTTCCTTCTTAACAATTAGTCAATATGAAGTAAATATAAATAAAAGTATACCTTATACTCCGTAATTGATCCAATTGATTGTATAGACCAAAACCAGGAAATAGAAACAACAATACAAGTTGTACAAATAAGTTGTGCTAGTGCTTAAATAATACGAAGTACATTAGTCGGTAAATGTAACAAATTTTTTATTTTTTTTATGTAACAATTACTTAAATGTAACAATATTTAATTATTATTACATGTAAAAATTTTAATAAAGTGTTGTCTTCTGTTGCGAGAAGATGAAATGACAGTACGGAGTAGTAATTAAAGGACAGAAAAAAAGGCATGATGATTAAATTAAGGAGTGCATCTTTCAGAGGCGCGCTATCACACTACTACAAGTAATCTGCTGTAACCTTTCAATCTTCCATCTCCTTCCTTTTTTCCTTTTTAAATCTATAATAAAGTACCCCATATTTACCTATATTTGTTACATAATCTCTCAAAAAATCTTAACTATTTCAAATAATTTCAAATTTGATAATCAATATCAAAGAAATGTCATCACAAGATCATTCTTCGATGTTCTGGAGTAATCTCCTTCAACCAATGCAACCTTGTTTCACTCTTCTTTTTTTTTCTATTTGTTTTGATTTAATTTAATTAATGAATAATTTTCATACATGTAGGGCTCAAGGTTTTGCCGGGAAAACCCATTACCGTGAGTTTTTCTTAGCTTGCAACTCATTCAAGAGTCTTCATATTTCCCAGGTTTTGTTTTCAATCTTCATTTGCTTGCTTCTTTATTTCTTTGTTTTAAATTTTTGTATAGCCTCATCCTTTATTTATATTTTTATCAAACCACTTAAAAATTATTACTACTAAGTTAGATTTGTCACGAATATTTTCTCTATATTTTTATCAAACCACTTAAAAATTATTAGGAAATATTATTAATATTTTTTATCAAACCACTTAAAAATTTACTATACTACACTAATTATATTTGTCATGAATATTTTCTCTATAAGCCTACATGAGTCAAAACTACTAACTGTTGAAATATTCTCCAATATAGACAATACTATACAGTTGTTAGGTACAATTAATATTAGTCATTGGTCTAATAACCAGACATAAGCACATAACTTACAATGATTTTTTAAGAAATCCTAATAATTTTTTTATAAATATATAAATCATAACAATTGACGTCATACACTTTACTATAACACAACCTATGATACGGAGTATCATTTAAAAGTGTTCATCAAGCATTTATATTCACTAGTTGCATGTGTAAACATAATTACTTATATATACATCACACTTATTGTATGTTTGATAATATATCATTAACAAAAATAAGTTATTAATGGTAAAATTTATTATGAGAAAATACAAATTTATCTCCTTGATAAACAAAATATGTTAAGCAAATGACAAAAATGTAAATAAATAACAATTTTGTGTCATATATGAGTCTCATAGTTTTTATATTTATTTACCAAAATACCATGATGACTAAACAAAATGGCAAAAATGTAAATCAATCAATAACTTTTTCGTCATAAATGAGTCTCACTATTTTTGATTTATTTACCAAAATATCATGATAACTGGACAAAAAAATTGTACATTTATTTCCGATTTTTCCAGTTAATAAAAAAATTTGTTTATCAAGGAAATAATTGGGACTTCCTTATTGATTATATAAGATATTTTTACCCTACAATACATTTTTTTTTACTTTATATATATAATAAAAATGTATTTATATAAACATCTTTAATTTGTATAGTTTAGTGCATAATAGATTATCGGTTCCTTTATTTTTCTATAACAATGGTCATTACAAATTATGAATAATTAAAAAAAATCTAGAAAATTTTAAAGAACTAAGAAAATATTTATTATTATATAAAAATCCTTATATATAGCCAATAAAAACTTCTATCCCTAACTATGTTAGTCAACTTTATATTACAATTTAGTAAATTAAAAAAAAAAGGTCAAAGGATGTTAACTAATTATACTTTTGAGGATAGTGATGGTTATAGGGTAGAAATTCTGTTAAGGGATAATGATGGAAGTTGTTCTTCCAACAAAAGGCAGAGATTGAGTATGAAAGAATTTTTTAGCTGCAATATTATTGATGTCAATTAAGAAAGTTATTTAAGTAGTTTTTGGCTAATGTCTACACTATGATTGAGGCTAATAGATTTAACTACATTTGAACACATAAAAACAATTGAGGTTAGAATTGTACAAGAATTTTGATGATGCAATTTTTAGAGGAGACGTTGATACCTAATCTACATGATTACGGATTGTCTTATATTCTTCATTTACTAATAGTGCTAGATATATGATGACTATTTATATGCAGGTGGTATGGATATTAAGATCTTTTTATCACATTTACATTCAATCCAAAGGGGCTAGAAAATCACTAGATTTGTTCATAAGAAAGGACTTGGACTAGAGGATAGGCCACACATCTTATGTAGGTTTTTTGAAATAATAATATGAGGCATGTAAGTGTATATGTACCACCCTATATATAAGATAAGCTATAATTTTCATTTTTAATATAGATTTTTGTACTAATTTTATATCTGTGTAGCAACCATCATAAGATTACTCGGTTAATGTAATAGGGGTTACCCAGTCAGTGGCGGAGCAAGGATTCTTCACCTAGCGGACGGACTAAAGGTGGCGTACATTCTATAAATGGACAAACCTTTTAAACATACAAGAAATTGTAGGGACTATGCTTAATAATTTTAAGTTTTACAACCTGAAAATCCAAATTTCTTAGTTATACAGTCCAAAAATTGAAAAAAACCATATATACAATTACAACTTCACCTTTAAATATTCATTCTTTTTTGAAGTGATATACAATAAAAATTATCAAATAATTCATTAATGTGATTTCTAATTCACGATAATCCTAACAAATAAACAATTTCTTATTCAAATTTGGTCAATAGCGGATCCATAGGTTCAAAGTTTTTAAACCTGTGACAAATTAATTTATATTGAGATATATAATAAAATCAAACACATTTACCCGAAATTACTAAATAACCAATAAATTGGGGTTGTAATGTATGCATTTATATAAATAAAAAATTATATATGTAAATTACTATGGTAATTTAAAAGTTAGAACATGATGCCATTAAATAGTACTATGAATTACTTCTAATTGAATGTGTGAAGTAAAGAAACATGCATGAAAAGAGGAAAAATTTAAAATAAAAATAAGAAGAAAAAAAATGTTGGTCAAAGGGATTGAACCCATGACCATGGAGACTACTAATAACCCCTGAAACCATTGAACCAAACCCTTATTCTTATTTTTTATGCTTTACATAATTAGTTTTAACTAACTTTTTTTTTTATTGAAGTGGGGGAAAAGTTGTCCCCCCTTGTACCCCCCTCCCTCCGCCACTACACCCAATTAGTGTTATAGTTGTTACTTTGTTAGTGTTGTACTTTGTTATTTAAGGATTACTAAATTAGTATATATAATAAGACTCTGTTCACTTCACCTTAAACTCTTAAAGATATATTATTTGGTGAAAATAATTTTAGTTTAGTATAAATAACTTCAATTTGGTATATTTAATTTCATTTTAGCAAAAAGCAACTACTTTAAATAAGAAATATACTCATTGCGTCCCTTAATACAAAGTCTCATTTCCTTTTTGGGTAAATTAAAATGCAATGCCTCTTTCTATTTAAAGGTTGTATTTTTTGACATTAATTAATACTCTTTTTTTTGATGAGTTGTCATCTTTATTCGTTTGATTTTTTGTACTTTTGACATCAATTTCCAACACTTTCTCGCACTATCTCTTTAATTATTCCTAACAATTTTTTCTTTCTTTCCATCTCTCTCTAACCCTACATGTACATATTTACTTTTAATTTTAAGTTTTAAAGAATTTACAACTTTCTTAATTCCCGCGAAAAAACCAAAAGTGACTTTATATTAAGGGACAGAGAGAGTAATAGAGAAACGATAAAAAAAATTATCAACAAAAATAATTTCAATTTAGTAAAAATAATTTTAGTTTAGTAAAAATAATTTTAGTTTTGCAAAAATAATTTTAGTTCAATAAAAATAATTTCATTTAAGCAAATATAAGGTGAAGAGAACCGAGCTTAGAAGTTACTCTATCAATATAATAGGGATTGAGTTTTTCTAAGCTATGCCCCCCAAGTTCTTCGGTTTCTAAGTTGTACCCATGCTTTTTCAAATTTATAAGTTGTGCCCTCCACCTCACGATATTTTATCAACAATACCCTTTGACACCCAAATCCGTTAACGAAAGTTAAGTTATTTTATCAACATTGACGTCGTGGTATTATTAATTTGACACGTGTCCCGTTCTAATTGGTTTAAAACTTTAAATAAATTTTTAAAATCAGAAAATAAAATAATAAAAAAGGTTATTGTTAACGTCAAATACTATTGTTAATAAAAATTAGTGAGGTTGAGGGCACAACTTAGATGTTTGAAAAAGCATGGGCACAACTTAGAAATCGAAGAAGTTTGGGGGCATGACTTGTTAGTGTCATAGGGGTTAATTACTCCATTTTTTACAATCGATCACACAGTGTGACCAACCGCACAGAAAATATGTTGTAGATTTTGTATAAGTTTCATGTTAAACTTTAAGTGTTTTTAAAAGCTATAGAAGAGAAAAGAGATACCAAATTATTTGTGATATAAAAATTACTCCCTTCGTCTCTTTATTAATGTCCACTTTTCTCTTTATTATGTGAGTAATAAATGATAGAAAGTGGACACTAATAAAGAGACGGAGGGAGTACAATATATAGTGATCATATTATTAATATAATGGTAAATGTTTCCAAAAAAATATATGTAGTTAGAGGACGGAAATAGTTATTTAAAAGGCAAAATTTTATATGTGATTGGTTACACCGTGGATAGGAGTTACTCGAGTTACTTGGTCAAGGGTTACTTGAGGGGTTCGGTCAAGGGTTAGTTAAATACTCTGTCATGAATTATTTAAGAGATTACTCGGTCAGGGGTTACTCGGTCATGAGTTACCTGAGTTACTTGATCAAGGTTTACTTTAGGGGCTCGTTCATGGGTTACTTGAGGGGTTCGGTCATGGTAAGGTACTTAGTCATGGGTTACTTATGGGGTTACTCGGTCGGGGGTTTCGAGAGGGGTTACTGATGAGTGTGATTTATGGCACTCATCGGATAGTCTTCTAGGATGATTTCATCCCTTTTTCATGCTTTCTTATCTTAATTTTGGTCCCTTTTCCTTTAGTTCCTTTATTTCCTTATTTCTTTGTGTTTTTCGTGTTTTCTTCTTATTTTGCTTTTACTTGGCCCTTTTTCCCTTTTATTCCTTTCCTCTGTTTTCTCTTGTAGATACCTAGGAGTTGTCTTTTCAAAGGGATCAAGATGAGCTATTTTGACTAAGTAAGGAGGAAGCAATCTGCTTGGAGAGGGCTTGGAGAGGGCTTAGAGAGGCCTCGCAGAGGGCATCATCTCTTGCCGAGTTGCCGCGGGCGCGGGTCCTGAAGGCCGCGGGTGTGTGCTTGATTGCTCCAAATGATCCAAAATCGACCTGGAACTCTTCGCGGCCTGGTGCTCGCGGGCGCGGGTAGATTGGAGAGAGCACTCCAAATTAGAGAGACCGCGGCCCTCTGATCAACCTCTGGGAGCAGGGGATTCGCCGCGCCCTTGCCGCGGGCGGGCTAGAAGACCCGCAGGTGCGGGTGTTGCCCAGATAACCCGCTGAGTTTGTTATGGGTTCTGTACCCATTTCCCCGAGGGCGCGTGATTTCTTAGAGAGAGCGCGGGGATCCTGTTTTCCTTCTTTGCCTATAAATACAATTGTAATTCCTTTTTGAAAACAAACTTTTAGATAATTTTCATCTTAGTTTTAGAGAGAGAAGTTAGAGAGAAGTTCTTGGTTTTGGATTTGTATTTCAACATTGGTTCAATTGTGCTTGGATTTCTTCATCTTCAATCATTAATATTAGTGAGAATCTCTTCTTTTATTTCATCTCTTTACTTGTTTGTTTTAGATTCATGTTTGATTGTTTGATTTCCTTGGATTTGAATTTGATATTGTAGTTGATATTATTTTCTCTTGATTTTGATTTAGAATGATGATCAATGCAATTTTTAGTAATTTATTCTTGAGTTACACCATGATTAGTGAGTAGATTACTTGCTACGGAGAAGGGGAAGCATGCTTGATTGATAATTTGTGCTAGTTGATGATCATTGATTGATTGAATTGTTGCAATTAAATTGGTTGACATAGTTTTGCATGTGATTAATTAGATTAGGAGTGATCAACCTATAAGATTAATCTAGATTGCACTGCAATTCTTAATGACATGAACCATCAATTTGAGAATTGTTTTAATTGATTGAGTTTGATTGTTAATTTCCTTGATTAGCTATTCATAGTGACCACTAGCTTTGCCTCTAGGAAATAGCTCTTGAATTCTCTTGATTGCTACTATTGTTTGTCCTTTGTAATGCTTGAATCAATTGAATGAACTATCAATTAGCATGAATATTGAACTTGCATGTGGAACCTATATCCCTAGTGTTTAGTTTCTTGAATTACTTGATTAGTCTAGCTTTGTTACCATAGTACCAACCATTTTCTCACTACAATCTTCAAAGTAGCTTGACTTAGGCTATAGTTAATACCGACTCATTCCTTTGGGTTCGACCCTATACTTGCCTTATACTTGTATTAGGTTTGTTTAGGATGTTATAAATTGTGTTTGATTTTGGGATAGACAATTGACGACTTGTTTATTCCTCTATCAGTTACTCGGTCATGGGTTACTCGGGTTACTCTGTTAGGATTTATTTTAGGGGTTACTTGAGGGGTTCGGTCAGGGATAGTTACTTGGTCATGGGTTACTTATGGGGTTACTCAGTCGGGGGTTTCTCGAGGGGTTACTCGGTCATGGGTTACTCGGGTCACTCTATTAGGATGTAATTTAGGGGTTACTTGAGGGGTTCAGTAAGGGTTACTCGGTCGTCATGTGTTACTTGAGGGGTTTTGTTAGGGGTTACTCAGTCATGGGTTACTTTAGGGGTTTCTCGGTCATGAGTTACTCGAGTTACTTGGTAAGGGGTTTACTCGAGGGGGTACGAGTTACTTAGTTAGGGTTTTTTAAGGGGTTACTCGATCAGAAGTAACTCGAGTAACCCCTGACCGAGTAACTCGAGTAAACCCAGCCACACTTTGTAACTAGCCACACGGAAAAATCCTCTCATTTAAAAATGAGGGTGCCAATGGCGCCAGTAGAAATGAGGGAAAAAATATGGCTTGATGTGGGTATTGATTGTTAGTTCATTGAGTTGAATTATTTTTCAAATCTTTCCATACAATTTAAGAATAAAAAAAAGTTGTTTTCAAGTAGTACTTCGTATATCATTATTTTGAGGGTTTAAAATATATGTTTAAGAAATATTTATAAGTAAATTCATTATATGGATGACATGTGTTACAATGGTGGAGTAACCCCTTAACTAACCCTTGGCCGAGTAACCCCTTAACTAACCCTAACAAAACTTCTCAAGTAACTCCTAACTAAGTAACCCCTTAAACAATCCATGAGCAAGTAACTCTTAACCAAACCCCTTAACTAACCCCTGTTCGAGTAACTCGCATAACCTTGAACACACGGTGTGGCTAGCCACATATAAAATTTTGTTATTTTTGTGTGGCCAGCCACACCATGCGACAACCTGACACTCACCAAAACACTGGCCAGGTAACCTCTAACCGATCGCGTAACCCATGAACGAGTAACTCTTGATCGACCGAGTAAGGCTTGACCGACCGAGTAGCCCCTAACCAAGTTATGCTTAACTGACCGAGTAACCCCTGATCAAGTTACACCTAACTCATTGAGTAATCCCTAATCAAGTTACGCCTAACTCATCAAGTAACCCCTAATTAAGATACGCTTGACTAATCGAGTAACCCTTGGCAACCAAATAACCTTGGCCACACCTGCATAACCAGTCACATTTAAAATTTTGTGGTAAAGGTACTCATTCACTAAAGTATCCATACCCAGTTAATAATCGATCACCCGCCCATCACCTCTATTATACTTGTACAATCTTTTCCCCTTTACTTTATTTCCAAGGTATTTACATCCACTTATAATACATGCCTCATCACCTCCTTAGTCCTTATTTTATTAATAACTTTTAAATTGAACTTAATATATTTTTCAAAACCTTTAAAATTTTTGTAACAAAAAAAAAAAACATAAAATTATAGATATTAGGTACCTATCAAAAAAACACCTCAGTTAGTTAAAATTCCCTTTCTATTTCCAAGGGATCCTAAGATTGATTCTCAGCACATGTATTTGTGGCTATCTAAACAAAAAAAAAAGTAATATTTAATAATAAAATGTAATAAAAAAAACTGCTACAATATAACTATGTACTTTTAATTTTAATTCTTTACAAAAAAAAATGTAATTTTAATATTAATATTAATATATCTATTGATTTTGTGGTCAATAACTGTGCAATGCAATTTCATATATTAGACAACTAACATTTACAGCAACGACATACTTAAACAATGGATGTAAAAGCTAGTGTGACTTTACCACTACACGAATACAAAAAATAGAAAGTATTTGACAACATTATTTCATTAAGTGAAATTAGTTCAGTCTAGTTCCTAATTTCCTTCTCTTATAAACAATTCATTTCATTTTAGTTCAGTTCTGTTCAGTTCTGCCTAATTAGTTCAGTTCAATTGTTTTTAGTAAATCGGAACAGACCCTATTACAAACTACCAGTTATGAGTAATCAAATAATAAGCATAAAGAAATTATTATTTTGTTTAAAAATTTTAAGATTTTTTTTATCATTATACCTTAAATACAAAAACCAAATATTATATACAAATTAAATCATTTATATAGATCAAATCATATAAATTCTTTTTTAAAAAAGGTAAGCAATCAATTTTTGGTACTTGTTTAGGGTTAAACTACCCTAGACACGTGGCCTAATCAGAGAGGGACACGTGTTAAGCCTGGACAGATCCAACATGGGCCACTTATCAACTGACACATGTCAGCCTCATATATCAGCTAGAACTGCGGCCTTCAAGGCCCAAATCCCGAGAAATGCGCAAAACGGCGCAGCCCATTAAGTCAGAATGACCTAATGAGCACGAATTTCCAATACCCTATAAATAGGGAGATTTTCCCTATTTTGGGGACACATTCATTTATTACACTACCCTACATTCTCTCTCATCAGAGAAAACACCTGATATCAGAATCAAAGAAGATCTCACTTTACTTTTTCCGCACTCTTTACATTATCCAAACACGTTCTAACTTGATCGTTGAAGGCGGAGCTCCAACCACCCGGAGTCTTCGTTGTTTTTTGCAGGTAAAGACCGCATCGAACTAGTCTTCAAGCTATAACTCTCCCGAGGGACTAAAAATACCTAAAACATTTGGCGCCGTCTGTTGGGAGAGTACCTTTAAGATGGTTTAAGAGTTTGTACCGCCACCTGAACCCAACCAGCCCGGAGCCGATGGGGTGGTCTATTCAGACCATGATACAGACAACGACTGTGAAGTCGAAACCTGAGTGGGCCCTGATGGGTCACTCCACTCTAAGCACATGAGTTCCAGAGATAAGTTGGAATGAGCTAAAAATGAATTAGGTACCAGCAAGACTACTTAACCACCGCCTAGGAACACCTAGGCGGTGCGTGGTCAGGCTCTAGTTACCCGAGACGAGCTCATGAAGTCCATGACAAGTTTTAAGGGTGAAATCAAGGACCTGATAAACAAGAGGATGACTTGCTCTAGCAAGGGTCAGTTGGCCAAGAAGACTCCCTAAGTTGAGAGGAGGAAGTCAGTTAGAGACAGGCAACCTACTCCACATCTAAAGGAGAAAACTACGTCTGTCATTCACTAGGCCAAGATCCTTTTGCCCCACACGAGCAAAAGGAAGGTCATCCCAGCGGTTCAGCCGGATGGCAGTAAGAAAACCTTGTCTGATGATCGACACATCATCGAGCACAATCAGAGTTAGTAGCTGTCTAAGTCAGCCTCTACATCAAGCTTTCAAGATAACTTCAAAAATACATCTGCAAGGAATTCTCAATCCTTTCATGAGAGCCATACATGCGGCAAGTTCGTCCATACTGGCCCTTTAATGATTGTAACAGTCCCGTATGTGCCCTAGGCGCCATACGGGCAGTATGTTCCACAATTTATGCAGCCAACCCTCTTTGGAGGTCAGGCTGCACACAATGTCCAGCTCTTGGACTGGCAGCTCCGTCTGCTCAAACTTAGTGAACAAACATCTGTGTTCACCAAGGAAATAACCGAGGCAGCACAGCCGACTAAGGTTAAGAATGTCTTAGTTGGTGCCTATAATTGTACCACCAACCTAAAGGACCACCTCATGGCCTACATCAACCTTATGCATATGTAGGGATTAGAGGATGCTATGTGGTGCCGATGCTTCCCGGCTACCTTGAAGGGCACAGCCCAACAATGGTTTGGCAACCTGCCATCCGAATGTATTGATAGCTTTAGGAGACTTGCCTTCCTATTTGCCTCAAACTTCTCGATGAACATTCTTGCCAAGAAAACAAGTTTTGACTTTAGCACCATACAGCAAGGAGAGAGAGAAGGGCTTTGCTCCTACGTTAGACGGTTCAATCTAGTTAGAATCCAGATATAAGGGATGTCTGACGAGGTAGCTTATACAGACTTCTTTAGGGTTTGAAGGATGGGTTAAATTTTAACGTTGACCTCGTCCGGATGAGGGTCTTCACCCTCCAAAAGGCATTGATAGAGGAAGAGAGATTTATTCAAGCCA